TGTGTCGCCTTTAGTTAATCATTTTGATTATGGAAAGGATTGTCGCTTTTCATTAATTATTATGATTATGGAAAGGGTTGTGTTACTTTTAATTAATTATTATGATTACGGAAAGGGTTGTGTCGCCTTCAGTTAATTATTATGGTTATGGAAAGGATTGTCGCTTTTCATTAATTATTATGATTATGGAAAGTGTTGTGTTACTTTTAATTAATTATTATGATTACGGAAAGAGTTGTGTTACTTTTAATTAATTATTATGATTATGGAAAGAGTTTTGTCAGTTAAATTGATTATTTGAAAGGGTTTTGTCACTTTTCATTAATTATTATGATTATGGAAAGTGTTGTGTTACTTTTAATTAATTATTATGATTATGGAAAGGGTTGTGTTACTTTTAATTAATTATTTTGATTATGGAAATGGTTGTGTCGCTTTTATTTAAAGTATCAAACCAGGGCGAAAAGTGATGACGATTTGTCTTATAGCAGACAGAGCTTGCTCAAGCTGAAACAAGTACATGTACTCGAGGACCTCTACATTGATATGAAGGAAAACGAGCAAATTGCATTTTCAAAGACTGTAGGTGCAGAGAAAATTAATATCATTGGCTGAAACGGATGTGCGTGTTCATGGACAATAAATGTATGGTGTTTGTTTTGTTTTAAAGAGTTAAATCGACGAAAAATATCAACGTATCACAGATAAAGTTTTGTGAAACCTACTGGGATAGAAAATCCTTGGTTCATATTTCGTTGATTGAAACGTTAAAGACGCTTCTTGTCTGAGTGTACAAGGCTTTGTGAGCTGAAACAGTCATAATGAGTAGCCGAGTCTTCGTGGCAAACATAATAGTTATTAATTCAATAGAATATTTGGTTTTTATGTTATCCTCTAAAATAGAATGGACAATAACACACTGGCAACTGCCAAATATTCGTCACATGAAAGTCTGAAAATATCTCATTGACTGTACGTACCATATAACTCGTTGAAAGCGTGGGAACAAAGACTCAGAATCGAATATTTGCAGGACGATGTGACGTTGAAAAACACTCATCCTCACACGCATACTTACCAACATTTCCACAATCAATTCCACTGGATCTAACGATGACATGCGTCAACCAAGTCAGAGAACCTGACCACCCGATCCCGTTAGTCGCCTCTTACGACAAGCGTAGTCGCCATTTACGGCAAGCAATGGTTGCTGAAGACGCTTATTTTGAGATAAAGCGGACAAAGAACTAATAATAATAACAACAACAAACAACAACAACAAACAATTCAAAATACATGTAAAAGCGACACAACCAATTATATCATCGCAGTGCATCTGCGTAATCGACCACCTGTTTGCAAATAATTAAATGTTAAACTATTAACATTGCTTTTCATATAGCGTAATGGCCAAACATTCTTTGCGGTTACCACAAACGAGTTCATTTAGTTCTGATTATGTGTGAACATATTGCGGTAAGACATCCTTGTTCAAAGTTCATCCCAGTGGAATGTAAATTAGCGGACATTAAAGCGACACGAGGATTGTAGTCGTGACGACAGAGAGGGAGGTTGGAGTGGTGGATGCTGTGACATTTAAACATAAACGGTAGAGCTGTATAATCTGGGCCCTCATATCACATCGAGGAGAATATGTATCATGTGTGCAGATGGGAAACACGATCTGAAAAAAACAATTAAAACACAGTGGTCTGCCCTGTATGTGAGGTGAGGTGAAATAGGGTTTAATGTCGCATTCAAGAGTACTGGTATTGTACTGTAATAGCGACGTGCATGCACGTGTGCGTGTGCATGCGTGTGCATGCGTGTGTGTGCGCGTGCGTGTGTGCGTGTGTGCGTGTGTGCGTGCGTACCATTCCAGGCTAATGACAGTTTTATAGTTTTATAGCCAGCACACCTACATCGGGCCGCCGTTGGCTATATCAGCACCGGCAAACCGCAGCGGTCCGCTGTCGGGACAATGCTGGTGATTGGCACTGACACTATTGAACCTGATATATGATTTGATTTGTTTATGATAACATAAAAGAAAAAACACATTTGTCGATTACAATGTGACAAATATTAGATAATATTTACGAATAATACAATAATTCTATTCGAACTCAAAATATTAACTTTATTTTTAATTTTTAAATGAAATAGCTCAAGCACATTCACTGACCATTTAGGCTGCACATATGCAACCGACAGAGAAGATACAGACGGGATTCTTCACATCTTACAATAGTATACTGATTCCGAGCTTGCCCCTTAATTAGTCACGTAGCCCCGGGCGGAGTACCAACCAGCGCCATCCCTTTAACGCTAGAGAGTCAAACCACCGACCTTGCACTGTCAGGGAAGACGCTCTATCCGCTAGACCAAGACGCCGGTTGCCTTATATGTACACTGATCCAATAGAAACTTGAATCCCGTGAGGTGTCGGAAGATAGTTGGATTGTGACTAACCTTTGGTGGCCAGGCATCCTCTCCGAATCATTACATGAAACACTATGTCAGGATGAATGACCAGATGTATGTAAACCGCCAGCTTACATGAAAGTATTCATGAAATTGGATGAGTTTAATGTTCCTGTCCTACATACAGGTAATATTATGTGACTCGCAATGACAGTGATATTTGAGGATCAGAGCCACCCAGGTCACTATGGACAAACAGCCGCTACTATATTCCCGTTACTGAAGGAAAAACGTCCTTTCCATTGCGCGTGATCTTGGATATAGTTGCATCAGAAACGATCATGACTTTTTGTCCAAAATGAAAACAAACTCCATCTGAAGCTTAACGAGAAAACAATCTGTGAAATTTTGTACATCCTCTTTGATAACATCCATTTAAAATTTGAAGATCCATACGGGCACACATTGTCCCCACTCCCCCCACCCCCCACGCCCCACCCCACGCCCCCCACGCCCCCCACGCCAACAAACACACCTACACCCCTTCCTGTTCTGTTTGTTTATGCATATGAATCATAATTTCTGCTGGGATATGCTGAATCAAGACACGGAAATTTGGACAAGCAGTTTAACAAAAGCTTCAACAATGGCCAAATAGCCAATTCCTTGCCCACATCAACTTGAAATACAAGAGAACATTGGAACAGCCTCATCTGTTTCGTATTTAGATCTATACATAAAGATTCAGATTGACGAAAAGAATATCAACAAGATTGTACAAGATGGATGACTTCCACATTCCGAACAATATTCCAACAGCCAAAGCCTTTGGTGTCTACATTTTCACTTTTGTTGTTCAATCGAGCATGCTCTTTCAACGAATATTTAAAAGAGCGTTACCATACATTCAAGGCTTAGCTTTCAAACTGTTTCATGTTCGGGACCAAAGAATTTTGGACATCAGAGACCAAATGGTCCGATGCAATTTGTTATTTTGACCTCTACCTTATACGTTCCCGTGTTTCTTCAGGTGAACAGTGGACCGCCCCCGTGGTCTAGTGGTAGAGCGTCCGCCCGGAGAGCGGAAGGTCCGGGGTTCGATCACGTCATACCAAAAGACGTTGAAAGATGGTACTTGTTGTTACCCTGTCTGGCGCTCGGCATTAAGGGGCTAAAACAAGGACTGGTCGGCTCGGAGTCAGTATACTGTGTCTGAGTGAGGTATTCATGTTAAACAGCGGCATGGTATCTCAGTGAGCTAGCACTATAAATCGGCATCAGTCCGGACTAGTACACAGCAGCCACACAAACACACACACGTACATGCACGTCGCTATATAAGTGCAATAATCTTGGACGCGACGTTAAACCCCATTTCACCTCACATCACCTCAGGTGAACAGTTAACTTGTCTTTGTATGTGTTGTGTCGGGTGTCACTGGCTTTGAAAGATATACTACATTCTCGTGAACACCTTGTATCATGCTTAAGATCTTTCAATGGTTTATGCTTTTAACAGATATTTCTTATGATTATGGAAAGTATTACAAGGTAGTTAGTTATAAAGGAGGTCATTTATTGTCCACCGGTCAGGGTAGCATTTCAAATCAAGGTCTAGACATTGTAGTCAGTGACTTGTATCAATCTGAGACATTGCCTTGATAGTAAACAAGCAGACGCAAGATTGATATTCCCATACAGTTTAAGTTAACAGTCGCCTTACATAGGTTTAGGTCTTCAGCAACCCATGCTTGTCGTAAGAGGCGACTATGCCTGCCGTAAGAGACGACCAGCTTGTCGTAAAACTATCGAGATCGGTTGGGTAGACTCACTGTGGAAATGTTGAAAACATATTTCCCCTCAAATGATAATATGTAAAATGACTTCATTGGGGTCACCCCGTCTATTGTAGCCAGGCTTCAATGTTGCCTCCATTTAATACAACTTAAAAGCCACGGAAAGCAAGTAAGGCTGTAGACATTGCTTCGTAAGACACGCAACAGTTAAATAAAAGCGACATGACCATTCCCATAATTAACTGTTTGATAGACATTACTTAGAAGTTGACGGATGACAAAGTAGACACAATTTATGGATAACAACTTCTTTAATTACTTTAAAGGCCACGTTTCGTTATAGATCCTTATACCGCTGTGAGGCAAGGGTGACATCGGTATAAGGATCGACACTGAAACGTCGCCTTCACAGTAATTAGGGGGCAAGGGTGGCCCAGTCTAAGGCGCCGCGATTCGCTGTGCAGAGTTGCGTCCACTGGACACGCCAGAAACCTATGATTGCGAGTTCGAATCCCGGTTCACCCCGATTATGTTTCTAGGTTTGTCAGCACCATACCCGTGCTCGTGGGTTTCACAGAAGTGGTAAACGTCTGAGACCTGCATCACTTCCGGCTCTCCTCCCACATTAAGCTGACACGCCGCGATATAACTGGAATAATGTTAAAAGCGGCGTTAAACCCAACTCACGCACTCACTCACAGTAATTAAAGAAGTTGTTATCCATAAATTGTGTCTACCTTTTAATAATTATTACGACTATGAATATATAACAAAAGATACTTTCTTGTCATTCTTTAATGAGATTGAAATGAGATGTGTACATAGTTACAATATGCAACGGCCATTCACTCAGTACCAATACATATCCGTGAGTGTGATAGATGTGGTGTGTCTGTCCCATGATGTAGCTCAGACCACTTGTTCCAGATCAGGAGGTTATGCTGTAACAAAGGTTCAAACATACCAAGTATCTTAAAAAAGTACTATATATAACAGGTCGTGTATGAAATCAGCTCAGAGTCGTATGCCCATGGTAAAAAAACAAGTGACTGTTCCCCTGTTGACAAAACATACAATTGAATACATTTCCCATCTTCACTTTTAAGAAATGGAAATAAAATTCGAAGTAAATATCTTTGTTGTTGGTTATCACAAATAAGATAAATATGTCTAATAAAATAAAATAGCGATTTAACTGACCTTGTGTGTATGGCTTTTCCCCGTACCAGTTGCCTCTACAATTCAACAAAATGATCATTGTGAGATTGATGCATGATAGAACATGGTTGTCATCACTGACTTTCAGTGATCCATTCATTTAATGTTCACCATTATTTGTCCTTCTACGTCCAATGGAATCTGTTTCGGCGGATAATCGAGACTGGTTATTATCTGGCGTTGACGTTTAATATTTATACGTCAGATTATTCAAACTGTTAAAAAAATGACACCCGACACGCATGCCTTTGCAATGTCTCTAGTGTATTGGGGGACGGTCGGGTAGCCTTGTGGTTAATGCGTTCGCTCGTCACGCCGAAGACCCGGGTTCGATTCCCGACATGAGTACAATGTGTGAATCCCATTTATGGTGTCCCCCGCCGTGATATTGCTGGAATATTGCTAAAAGCGTAGTAAAACCATACTCACTCACTCACTCTAGTGTATTGGAAAACGAAAGTGTCACTTCCAATCCATATTTTTACTTTTGCATAAACCTACGTCTATCCATTTACACACAACTTGACAATAGTTCAGATGATAGGGCACTGTGAATAACCATTTGGCTTGACGACTCAAACCCAGTCGTGTTACACATTGTAACATACCTATCTCAAATCTCAAAATAATACGTTCAAATGTTTTTGCAATACTCTTCTTCTAAGCGGCGTTAGACCGAGGTTACTCACTCACTTACTAAACTCTTTTGAAATTTTGAAACAAAGTAATTGATAGCCAGTGTGATATTAACATTTAATTTTGAAATCTTTCAGCATATTGTTTGTCAGTTGTGTAAATATTTTAAATTTTAAATATGTATTAAATACGAGTGTGGCTACAAAATTCAAGAAACATAATCAGGGCAAATCTGTTATTTGGCTCACATTTCTGAACACGGTACTGTAAGCATGGCTCTTGAGCCGAGAAAGAAGAGATCAGTAAGGTGAAAATGAGGACGGACTTTTACGTCGTGTTGCAGCAATTACGTTGGTAGTTATACTCACTTAGGATCGTAAAAACACACGAGATATTGAACATTCTTTCCTCCAGGCAACTGGGGAATTCTATTACACTTGGTCATTGCGCAACCCACTTTTGTAGTTTCGGCCCAGATCACCTGAAATCAGTTAAAACATATTATGGAGAATGGCGAAATGGTGTATGTATCTTCATTGCGTTGTATGTCACTGTACTTTGGTATAAGCATTCAACCTTGATCAAATAATGTTTTGTGCTGCAGTGTAAACGTCCTCGACCTCAGCTACATGGTGGAATCATAACGTTCATTATTTATCGGGCGTCTTGACTGCTCGTCCGCGACAGAAAGGAAAAAAACTAAATGGCGGTGACCCTTTTATTTTGTGTCTGATTTCCAAACATTTCTTGACCCTTATACGATTAAAGAACCTTAAAGAGACACGCTAGTCTGTCAGACAGAATCTGAAACAAATATATCCAATACATCCCATGCAAGTCTATAATATTTCTCAAGTCTAGATTACTGCAGGATCAGAAAATGAAGAAAGTCCCTTGGCTCCTTTTTATTATATTTTATAACTATAATTTAACGACTGTTTTTTTCTGTAAAATATGTTCATTTTGGAGACTAGATGTTAGCACATGTATGTTGTGTACCAAGTTGGCGTATTGTCTTGAAAGCCAAATATTTTAGTTTTCAAAATTGATTCATCATTTTAAGTTATTAACAGGTAAGTGATGGTTGTGAGATCTGAACATGAGGTTAAAAATAGTGAAGGGTAGCCTGTTAAAACTGATCGTGGGAGTCCACCCACCTGGCACCCCGTGGGGATTCTGGGTTAGTTTTTGTCCCCATTTCGTAAGAGTCGACCTAACGGTTCGGGTGGATCGTTTGATTGCATGTCATCGTACCCCGACGTCGTGGATCGTTGCTTATAAGTATTAATCACAATCAATTTACAGGCTGCCGTCAGAACGCGGCGTTAAAAAAGAAGAAGACATACTTGGGAGTAGTGGCAGCTGGCTGTGTTCATGCAGGAGGCACCGTTGTAGTTGAAGTCGTCCACTTCATTCCACCACCCTTGGAAGCCGTTCACCACAATGTCTGACTCCGATTTCTGAGACATCTCCATGTACAGGTTCTCGCCAAACTCCTTTGTGGAGGTGTGCTTGAACTGACATCCATTCGCCCATGCCTTCGACTTCCTGGCAAGACCCTCATCCCAAGACTGTGGGTAGAAGGTATCTACTGACTCGTTCCATTAACTACAAGGGTGTATATTTGCTGAAGCGATTCAGCAGACATTAAACATGAAAAAGGTAACGACTGATATTAAAGCACTCAAGCAGCATCATATATTGTAAAGAATTGGGAATATTGAATTGACATTGAATAATAACGTTAACATAATTCAGAAATATAAGCTATGGATAGGCATGAAAAAATATATATTCTATTATATAATATAGAAGTGAGATATTTACACGAAATATTAGATAAATCTTGCGCATCAAGTCTTTGAAAAGCGTTTAGAAGTGATACAAACAAGAAAGAGAATTTATGGATGTCAACTTCTTTATTATGACGTTGATATCCATAAGTTCTCTTCCTTATCTTGAGCATGTCATAAAGATGAGAGGCATGATGAAAAATGCTTTCTGTCACATCTTTTTCATCATTAACAATTTAACCGGACTATGCTGGAGCTATGATGTCTGTAGGAAACATCTATACATTGGAATGGCAACATATTTTGTATTACCAAGTTTGGAATACCGGTGGCCCTTGGTTGTCCGGGCACACGCCCGGCGTTGAGTAAATTCCGTGCTTCGTTGTGCATTCTCAGAATGAGTTTCTGTAGTTGTGGTTTCATGACACCACCCTCACATGCCACGGCCAACGCCGTGAGGACAGCCACGCCCAGGAAGTTCATCTAGGAGGGGGTAAGAACACAGACAATGTAACGACATACAACCGGCATACGCGTTGTTTCATCAGGGTTACAACATCCAAGGCATCAGAGGAGCTTTCGAAACTTTTTATGGCAGATGTGTGGAGGACATTTCCAAACTTGATGGACCAGTGACAAAAATAATGTCTTATGCAGTTCCATTTTTTTACTGGAACATGCCTTCCCGTTTTTTGGGGTGAACAATTGACTTGCCTTTGTATGTATTTGTGACGGGTGATTGACGTGCTTTTGCATGTGTTTGTGAGTGCGTCAAAACAAGACGGACCAGTGACAAAAATAATGTCTTATGCAGTTCCCAGTTTTGACTTGAACATGCCCTTTTTTCGGGTGAACAATTGTCTTGCCTTTGTATGTATTTGTGACGGGTGATTGACTTGCTTTTGCATGTGTTTGTGACTAGTGGCACAGGATATGCTCACGTTTTAGCGAACATCTGGAATCATCACTGCTTGATAATGAATCATAGACGCATGCTAACGATGGACTTTTGGCAGAGATTTCTTATGGTTATTGAAAGTATTTTGTGGCTTTTATCTATTACATGGTTAACGGTTCCGCCAGCTGAATGCAATAATCGTTAACGCGACGTTTAGCCCATTTCTCCTCACCTATATCATTATTAATGTCTTACTATGCTATTTTAATTCATGTAAATAACATCTTCGTTGAAAATAATCGCACACACATACATCAATTGTACATGTAGTATTGAACACGTTGAAAAGACACGTGTGATGTGTGCAAGCGAGGTATATGAACAATGAGTCTTTGTACATTGATTTTAGTGAAGCTATATTTAACGATTAAATACAGTTTACACTTCTATTTTTCAGTTTGGAATTTACATATGTGTGGATGGAACAATGTGTTGTAGCAAGGGGTAATTTATCAGCGTTCACGTTTTTCTTACACGTTTCTTGTAAGCAGCAGAATATCTTCACTTGTACGCAGACGTAATTCAAAACTAACGTATCGTTTTCAGTTCTAGTTGTAGCAAAGTCGGTTAATGCGTTGTCGTCTCACTTTGTTGTCTGTTCCGTCATTTGATTGTCTCGACAAGAATCGACTCGACAGGCCGCCGTCGTATGGCGGCGTCGGGAAACAAACACAACTGGGTCTGTCACGGGTGCTGCCGGTAGGGCTGGACATTCCTACCCTAGTCCCCAACACCCGAAGGCGTAATTAATTTTCAGTTGTTCCATCAAACAGTTTTCATAACTATTATGACTTCTACGCCTAATGGAATCTTTTTCGAAAAACATTCGAGACTGACTAATCTCTGGCGTTGACGTTTTATATTTAAACAAAACAATGCAAAGAGTTCCTACTGTTTTCCATATTCTCTTTTAAATGTTTTCGCGACTATATTACAAAATACATGATGGTATTTTTAGCTAAATTCTGATGTTGGCCCTATGACTTCAATGTTAATAAAGGCAATTGCTACAATATGGAAGTTATCTGAGCACTATGCAATTACAAGGAAATGAAACATGACTACCACTTTCTTTACATCTGTCCATTATAAAAGGATGTAAGTATTTATCACTAAAGTGAGTGAATGAGCTTGGTTTGAGGCCGCTTTGAACAGTATTCCAGTTATATCACGGCGTGTCAGGTTAATGTGGGAGGAAAGCCCGAAGTAATGTAGGTCTCAGACGTTGACCACTTCGGTAAAACCCACGAGCACGGGTATGGTACTGACAAAGCTAGAAACACAATCGAGGCGAACCGGGATTCGAACCCACAATCATAGGTTTCTGATGTTCTCAAGGGACGTAACTCTGCGGTGCCTTAGACGACTGGGCAACCCGTGGCCTCTTAAACACTTAAGTTCCATACATGTCGATAGGTGCATAAATGTACAGGGTCGGTATAATCAACAAATGAATATACTCCGAAGCAAATACCTGTTTGTACATCAATCTATGTTAAAATGAAAAAAAGACTATCTGTAATATATGCTTATTGTCTACAGTTCCTAAAATAAACTGGTTTCTGTTGGCCAATAACGGGTATGATACTGGTATCAAATGTAAATATTGATATCAGGATTGGTTAGAATGTTTAAGCATTTGGACCATTGATATTCACTCATAAATATGTGATACTTTGCTGATTGGATTACTGCTGTCGACAGCATTAAAACAGATGTCTAATTTGCTGTTGTCACAGTATGGCGAGATAGTGCCGATGTGATGCTAAACTCACTCATAATCAGAGGAATGGGCCTTACTCATTGTACCTATGTGGAGAACCGAACCAGTCTCGGATGTGCCGAGCAAACCCTTCACCACCGCCCAAATCCCAGTAGAAGGAAGTTATTCCTTACCTTGGTGACAGTTGTTTCTGCGTGAGCAAGACAGGCTGCGATGGGCACATTTGTCACTATATAAACGCACAGCTTAATTGATTAAAGAGATCAGATTGACTTCTTAATTTGCAACGATTTCACAATGTAGATATCAATATGCTGACGCTGTTATAATGTGTGCAATTATAAACAGCAATTACCCTTTCTTATGCTTGATATTTATGTATATTTATTCAATCTCCATTTTTTTAGTTTTACGGCGGACGAGAGTGACCACGTCACACATCTAGACGGCACGTTATCCGTAATGAGGTGGTGGAATGCGTGAAACATTTCATAGATTGTTCACATCCAAAAAAGTTCAAAGACATCTCTGTTCTTTTGACATATTTCGTGTGGGAATCGTGTGGGATTTGGGCAATGGTGCAAACGCCGGAATTATGTAATTTTGAATTAAACATTGAACATTTTTTGACGTCTTACTAGGAACTTAAACGTTGTTGCCAATGTTATGAGATTTGGGTTGTCAGATTCTTGATATTGAATAACAGACGTTACTGGATTGTAACGGATGCCTACATAATACATCTATCTCGGATAGCAATAGAATAACGATCGTGCTTTCATTGTGAACTGCTTAACGATAAGGATTTTGAGAAAACGCTTTTCTTGGTGAATACAATTCGGTATTCAGTTTGATATCGAGCAGCAGTTGTATCAGCGTCAAGACGCCATCTTGTGTCATGTAATAGTCACTTGATGTCTGAAGCAAGTGTATCCAGTTCTGATGTCGATTTCTCTAAATACTGGACGGAATGACAAGTAGGGATGAGGTCAGCCAATGGCACAGCATGCAAGTTACACTATGTCCGTGTGTACTGAGTACAGCAGTGTCCACGTACGCAAAACACGCACAAATTGTTGATATAGTCACAGCTGTAAAGATCCAAAACAAAATGCGTCAGGTTAATTTAGTTCAGTGACCAACTGTTTTATCTTTGGAAGGGGAGGGATAAAAGAAATATGTAAATATATGCATAATTTATTATCCAAAACTAGCTCCGACAGGAGATATCGCTTGGGTGAGATCAGGCGGTATCTACATTGTAGAGTTCTGGATGTTGTTGCAGTTCTTGTTGGTCCTATATGATGATGCTTGTAGAGCGACGCCGGGTTATCTCCCTACATATGGTACGGCTATGGATGTTTATTGTGCGTCAATATACAGCTGATTATGGTATGTGTTAATGACAGAGGACACATATATTTCTTCAACATTCGTTACAGCCGCGACAGTCTTCCTCTGTAGTGTATATATGCCGTATTGAATTGTGTCTGAATCTGGCCCTTCGCCTTATGTTGTCTCCGTTACCAGGTATACAGGGTTTGTGGATCCGGTCTCATTGGTCTTCTTCTTTTTCTTCTTCTTCCTCTTCTTCATATTATCATTATGGAAAGGGCCTTGTGGCGTTTATTTACAGAATAACCGGAAGCATGGACATTGATTGTTTGTTTGTTTGATGTGTGTTGGCGCGCTTGTGTGTGAGAGTGTATTTTGTTTGTTTTTTAATTGGAAAGGGGGGGGGGGGGGGAGGGGGCGCAAGATTTTCGTCAGAAGAATTATAAAATAGTGATTTGAAGATTTCCTTCTCTCCGCGTCTAAATATGTAAGGGTCGGCGGAACGGAACCTACATTTTAGACAACGGTAACACTTTCAGGAAGATATAGTGTTGGATGAAGCTGTGAGCGAGTGAGTGAGTGAGTGAGTGAGTGAGTGAGTGAGTGAGTGAGTGAGTGAGTGAGTGGGTGAGTGAGTGAGTGAGTGAGTGAGTGAGTGAGTGAGTGAGTGAGTGAGTGAGTTTGAGACTGTTTTCAATAATGGTTCTGTTATATGAGCTTAGTTTGATAGATCCACAGAAAACAATGAAAAGTATCACCAGCCACAGCTTCACGGGGACAGTAGTCTCCAGAACAGGGACTATACTGGCTTTGGCACAAACTCTCTTGAAATGTGCGTCGGAGAAAATAAAACATGAATAAGTCTCGTTTGAGTATGCGCCTTTTTGCATTCACTTTGCTTTATTTTGTTTTCACATTAACATGTTTAATAGACAACATCCAGTCCAACGTCGTCTATTAGTATCCATCCTTTGAAGTCTTTATTTAGCTGTAAACCAAACAAACAAATGTTATACGATGCCTATACCGGTCAAGTTAACGGCACATACATTCACTTAGACAATAAACATATATGTATATTCGTATTTCCGGGTGTTATTTACCAGCCGATGCCCAACAAGCTCTTTCGAACCAGGCATTCTTGATAGACATTGTTAATAAAAAAAATTCCATGGCACTCTGCACATGTATATAAATTGTGAACATATAATTCATTCATGCAGTAATATGGCACCGTCATTAAACCTTGACAATAGAACAACATACTAAGTAAAATGCAGAGGAAATCCAATCACATCAAGGAATTTCTGTCAAATTCGAATTGAATATAGCAATATTCATGTTACTATGCCGAATACCATGTCTTCCACACTTGGAACGAGGAACGTATTCACACATCCTGAATAGTCCATCTAAATAGTCCAGATGTGCGCCAGATTTCGAAAACCAAAACATACACGTTTTTAGTCAAGAACTTTTGCAATTAGGGCGAAGCATTTTATGCCAAATTTTATGCTAATTTTATTAGCAGTTGAGTTTCAAATAAGATATTAACATGTATTTACCTGGCTGGTATGCTTCCTCTCCGATCCAATTACCCCTGGAACATTAACACAAATATATCATTTCTTAGACAGGAATTGTTACTGAATATATAATTTGCTCGGATGGAATGTATCAAAGAGGTGCGCTTGAATCGAAAAACATGAGGAACATGTCATCGTTATTTGAAACAAGATAATATTGAAATACTTGATGAACCATCCCTGATCCAGGGTCTTGGAATCACTGTTTTGTCACGGCATGGATACCGATTCATTCGGTACTTACAACTAGCATCAACACTGGGGTCTTTGGGGCCGCGAATGAAAGGATATGTACTTACAACAAGCATGAACACCGGGATCTTTGGGGGCGTGAATTAAAGGATATGTACTTACAACAAGCATGAACACCGGGATCTTTGGGGGCGTGAATTAAAGGATATGTACTTACAACAAGCATCAACACCGGGATCTTTGGGGGCGTGAATTAAAGGATATGTACTTACAACAAGCATCAACACTGGGGTCTTTGGGGGCGTGAATTAAAGGATATGTACTAACAAGCATCAACACTGGGGTCTTTGGGGCCGTGAATTAAAGGCTATGTACTTACAACAAGCATCAACACTGGGGTCTTTGGGGGCGTGAATTAAAGGATATGTACCAACAAGCACCAACACTGGGGTCTTTGGGGGCGTGAATGAAAGGATATGTACTAACAAGCACCAACACTGGGGTCTTTTGGGGCGTGAATTAAAGGATATGTACTTACAACAAGCATCAACACTCGGGTCTTTGGGGGCGTGAATTAAAGGATATGTACTTACAACAAGCATCAACACTGGGGTCTTTGGGGGCGTGAATTAAAGGATATGTACTAACAAGCACCAACACTGGTGTCTTTGGGGGCGTGAATTAAAGGATATGTACTAACAAGCACCAACACTGGGGTCTTTGGGGGCGTGAATTAAAGGATATGTACTAACAACAAGCATCAACACTGGGGTCTTTGGGGCCGTGAATTAAAGGATATGTACTAACAAGCACCAACACTAGGTACTTTGGGGCCGTGAATTAAAGGATATGTACTAACAAGCACCAACACTAGGTACTTTGGGGCCGTGAATTAAAGGATATGTACTAACAAGCACCAACACTAGGTACTATGGGGCCGTGAATTAAAGGATATGTACTAACAAGCATCAACACTGGGGTCTTTTGGGGCCGTGAATTAAAGGATATGTACTAACAAGCACCAACACTAGGTACTTTGGGGCCGTGAATTAAAGGATATGTACTAACAAGCACCAACACTAGGTACTTTGGGGGCGTGAATTAAAGGATATGTACTAACAAGCACCAACACTAGGTACTTTGGGGCCGTGAATTAAAGGATATGTACTAACAAGCATCAACACTAGGTACTTTGGGGCCGTGAATTAAAGGATATGTACTAACAAGCACCAACACTGGGGTCTTTGGGGGCGTGAATTAAAGGATATGTACTTACAACAAGCATCAACACTCGGGTCTTTGGGGGCGTGAATTAAAGGATATATACTTACAACAAGCATCAACACTGGGGTCTTTGGGGGCGTGAATTAAAGGATATGTACTAACAAGCACCAACACTGGGGTCTTTGGGGGCGTGAATTAAAGGATATGTACTTACAACAAGCATCAACACTGGGGTCTTTGGGGTCGTGAATTAAAGGATATGTACTAACAAGCATCAACACTGGGGTCTTTGGGGCCGTGAATTAAAGGATATGTACTAACAAGCACCAACACTAGGTACTTTGGGGCCGTGAATTAAAGGATATGTACTAACAAGCACCAACACTAGGTACTTTGGGGCCGTGAATTAAAGGATATGTACTAACAAGCACCAACACTAGGTACTTTGGGGCCGTGAATTAAAGGATATGTACTAACAAGCATCAACACTAGGTACTTTGGGGCCGTGAATTAAAGGATATGTACTAACAAGCACCAACACTAGGTACTTTGGGGCCGTGAATTAAAGGATATGTACTAACAAGCACCAACACTAGGTACTTTGGGGCAGTGTATTAAAGGATATGTACTTACAAGCACCAACACTAGGTACTTTGGGGCCGTGAATTAAAGGATATGTACTAACAAGCATCAACACTAGGTACTTTGGGGGCGTGAATTAAAGGATATGTACTAACAAGCACCAACACTAGGTACTTTGGGGCCGTGAATTAAAGCATATGTACTAACAAGCATCAACACTAGGTACTTTGGGGTCGTGAATTAAAGGATATGTACTAACAAGCACCAACACTGGGGTCTTTGGGGTCGTGAATTAAAGGATATGTACTTACAAGCACCAACACTGGGACCTTTGGGGCCTTGAATTAAAGGATATGTACTAACAAGCACCAACACTGGGGTCTTTGGGGTCGTGAATTAAAGGATATGTACTAACAAGCACCAACACTGGGACCTTTGGGGCCTTGAATTAAAGGATATGTACTAACAAGCACCAACACTGGGGTCTTTGGGGTCGTGAATTAAAGGATATGTACTTACAACAAGCATCAACACTAGGTACTTTTGGGTCGTGAATTAAAGGATATGTACTAACAAGCACCAACACTGGGGTCTTTGGGGGCGTGAATTAAAGGATATGTACTAACAAGCACCAACGCTAGGTACTTTGGGGTCGTGAATTAAAGGATATGTACTAACAAGCATCAACACTGGGGTCTTTGGGGGCGTGAATTAAAGGATATGTACTAACAACAAGCATCAACACTGGGGTCTTTGGGGCCGTGAATTAAAGGATATGTACTAACAAGCACCAACACTAGGTACTTTGGGGCCGTGAATTAAAGGATATGTACTTACAAGCACCAACACTGGGGTCTTTGGGGGCGTGAATTAAAGGATATGTACTAACAAGCATCAACACTAGGTACTTTGGGGCCGTGAATTAAAGCATATGTACTAACAAGCACCAACACTAGGTACTTTGGGGCCGTGAATTAAAGGATATGTACTAACAAGCATCAACACTAGGTACTTTGGGGGCGTGAATTAAAGGATATGTACTAACAAGCACCAACACTAGGTACTTTGGGGCCGTGAATTAAAGCATATGTACTAACAAGCATCAACACTAGGTACTTTGGGGTCGTGAATTAAAGGATATGTACTAACAAGCACCAACACTGGGGTCTTTGGGGTCGTGAATTAAAGGATATGTACTAACAAGCACCAACACTGGGACCTTTGGGGCCTTGAATTAAAGGATATGTACTAACAAGCACCAACACTGGGGTCTTTGGGGTCGTGAATTAAAGGATATGTACTTACAACAAGCATCAACACTAGGTACTTTTGGGTCGTGAATTAAAGGATATGTACTAACAAGCACCAACACTGGGGTCTTTGGGGTCGTGAATTAAAGGATATGTACTAACAAGCATCAACACTGGGGTCTTTGGGGCGTGAATTAAAGGATATGTACTAACAAGCACCAACACTGGGGTCTTTGGGGCCGTGAATTAAAGGATATGTACTAACAAGCACCAACACTAGGTACTTTTGGGGCGTGAATTAAAGGATAAATACTTACAATAAGCATCAACACTGGGATCTTTGGGGGCGTGAATTAAAGGATATGTACTAACAAGCACCAACACTAGGTACTTTGGGGGCGTGAATTAAAGGATAAATACTTACAACAAGCATCAACACTGGGGTCTTTGGGGCCGTGAATTATAGGATAAATACTTACAATAAGCATCAACACTGGGGTCTTTGGGGGCGTGAATTAAAGGATAAATACTTACAATAAGCATCAACACTGGGGTCTTTGGGGCCGTGAATTAAAGGATATGTACTAACAAGCACCAACACTGGGATCTTTGGGGCCGTGAATTAAAGGATATGTACTTACAACAAGCATCAACACCGGGGTCTTTGGGGCCGTGAATTAAAGGATATGTACTAACAAGCACCAACGCTAGGTACTTTTGGGTCGTGAATTAAAGGATATGTACTAACAAGCACCAACACTGGGGTCTTTGGGGTCGTGAATTAAAGGATATGTACTAACAAGCATCAACACTGGGGTCTTTGGGGCGTGAATTAAAGGATATGTACTAACAAGCACCAACACTGGGGTCTTTGGGGCCGTGAATTAAAGGATATGTACTAACAAGCACCAACACTAGGTACTTTTGGGGCGTGAATTAAAGGATAAATACTTACAATAAGCATCAACACTGGGATCTTTGGGGGCGTGAATTAAAGGATATGTACTAACAAGCACCAACACTAGGTACTTTGGGGGCGTGAATTAAAGGATAAATACTTACAACAAGCATCAACACTGGGGTCTTTGGGGCCGTGAATTATAGGATAAATACTTACAATAAGCATCAACACTGGGGTCTTTGGGGGCGTGAATTAAAGGATAAATACTTACAATAAGCATCAACACTGGGGTCTTTGGGGCCGTGAATTAAAGGATATGTACTAACAAGCACCAACACTGGGATCTTTGGGGCCGTGAATTAAAGGATATGTACTTACAACAAGCATCAACACCGGGGTCTTTGGGGCCGTGAATTAAAGGATATGTACTAACAAGCACCAACGCTAGGTACTTTGGGGGCGTGAATTAAAGGATATGTACTAACAAGCAGCATCACTGGGGTCTTTGGGGTCGTGAATTAAAGGATATGTACTAACAAGCACCAACACTGGGGTCTTTGGGGTCGTGAATTAAAGGATATGTACTAACAAGCATCAACACCGGGGTCTTTGGGGCCGTGAATTAAAGGATATATACTAACAAGCACCAACACTAGGTACTTTGGGGGCGTGAATTAAAGGATATGTACTAACAAGCACCAACACTGGGGTCTTTGGGGGCGTGAATTAAAGGATATGTACTAACAAGCACCAACACCGGGATCTTTGGGGCCGTGAATTAAAGGATATGTACTTACAACAAGCATGAACACTGGGGTCTTTGGGGGCGTGAATTAAAGGATATGTACTTACTTTGGATCGTAGTAACAGACCAGGAACCAACACTGGGGTCTTTGGGGGCGTGAATTAAAGGATATGTACTAACAAGCACCAACACTAGGTACTTTGGGGCCGTGAATTAAAGGATATGTACTTACAACAAGCACCAACACTAGGTACTTTGGGGCCGTGAATTAAAGGATATGTACTTACAACAAGCACCAACACTAGGTACTTTGGGGCCGTGAATTAAAGGATATGTACTAACAAGCACCAACACTGGGGCCGTGAATTAAAGGATATGTACTAACAAGCATCAACACTGGGGTCTTTGGGGCGTGAATTAAAGGATATGTACTAACAAGCATCAACACTGGGGTCTTTGGGGCGTGAATTTCAAGGATATGTACTAACAAGCATCAACACTGGGGTCTTTGGGGCGTGAATTAAAGGATATGTACTAACAAGCATCAACACTGGGGTCTTTGGGGCGTGAATTAAAGGATATGTACTAACAAGCATCAACACTGGGGTCTTTGGGGGCGTGAATTAAAGGATATGTACTAACAAGCATCAACACTGGGGTCTTTGGGGGCGTGAATTAAAGGATATGTACTTACTTTGGGTCGTAGTAACAGACCAGGAACCATACGTCCGTAAAGCCTCGGAACTGAGGGATAGTGTGGCAGTTCTTTAAAGCACAGCCAAGTTCACGGGTCTCCTCCCAGACTACCTGGAGATGATAAATTCATTATTTTAAAACTGCAGCGATTAGATTATCTGTGAATAGCCATTGCACGAATATGCCTATATCATGAGCAAGATTGTATGAATCACTATCAAATACTTCAAATTGACATCATGAGTATTGTTCAACGCAATTGGGATACAATGACCTGGGACCTTGGGATACGATCAACCATGTCAGCAAGCCTGACCACCCGATCCCGTTAGTCGCCTCTTACGACAAAACGAAAAGTGGTACTTTCGGGGACAATTACTCAAAACTGAAACCTCATATAAATATCTTGGTGTAATATTTTCAAGTAAATTATCATGGAACCGACATATATGTAATGCAGCAATCCAAGCTAAAAAGATGCTATTGGGCATTTTAAAAACGTTTGAACATTTTAGCGAGTGTGCTTATAAATCTTTCTTCAAAATCTTTGACACAAAAATAGCTGCTATTCTTTCCTATGGTTCAGAAATATGGGGTTTTGCAGAGGCTAAAGAAATTAAATCCGTACATTTATACGCATGCAAAAGATTTCTTGGTGTTAAACATAGTACGTCTAACGTAATGGTTTATGGTGAATGTGGTCGCATGCCCTTGTATATATATCACTATTTAAAAATCATAAGATACTGGTTAAAATTACTAAAAATGCCAGTAGGTAGATTGCCAAAAAAATGTTATAATATGATGCTATTGTATGAAAAGAATGGAGATCAAAATTGGGCATACAATGTTAAATGTCTACTGTATAAATGTGGGTATGGTTACATCTGGGAAAACCAATGTTTCTTAGAGAATCATGCCATGTTCATCTCGAAAATAAGACAGACGCTTTTTGACATGTACTTTCAAACATGGAGATCTACTGTAGATGTTTCTAGCAAATACGAATATTATAGATATTTTAAAATGCAAATATGCGCAGAAAAATATTTAACTGATGTAAATATAAGAAAATGCAGAATATCATTAACACAATTTAGATGCAGCTCACACAGGTTAATGGTTGAAGTTGGCAGGCACAACAAAATACCCAAATGTTTAAGATTATGTAAACAATGTTCTTTAAATGTTGTCGAAGATGAATTTCATTTTCTACTTGTATGTTGTGAATATCTTAATTTAAGGAAAAAATATACTGAACAGAAATACTATGTACATCCAAATAAATACAAGTTTATCTCTTTAATTTCACATGTGAGCAAAACGGCTATACAAAATCTCTCTCTCTTTATATATCATGCCATGTTATTAAGAAATGAATCCTTGTAACATTCCTAACCGCTTCCACATTGTCATCTATTCTGTACTATGGGCCTGTGGCCTTACAGTTATATATGAATAAACTGATTGACAAGCATGGATTACTGAAGATCTATTCTACACTGGATCTTCACGGGTCTGTGAAATGTAACAGGAACACTATATCCATGATGGCCTGAAAATATTCGAACACTTGCCAGACGGATAGTCATTTGCCCCATGCCGTTGGGTCACGACGATGAGCCAGACAACACTTTATAACAAATTGTGACTCGATTCTCAACACAAACTCGGGGTACTGGGTCCTAGTTTAAAAGAAAACGCCACAGGGTGACAGACAAAGAGAGCAACGTGATTTGTGAAGGCACTTGATCTTGTGAATTAGTTCCAACATGTTACGTAGTTCCGAGAGATGAGGGGCGGTCGGGTAGCCTAGTGGTTAAAGCGTTCGCTCGTCACGCCTAAGACCCGGGTTCGATTTCCGACATGGCTACAATGTGTGAAGCTCATTTCTGGTGTGATATTGCTGGAATATTGCTAAAAGCGTAACACCATACTCAATCAATCAATCCGAGAGATGAATCATGAATTCAGACACACTGTCTTTAAAGGTGTACAGCATTTTATATCAAGTTATGTATGCTTCGCATCAGAACACAGTTGCGTCAAGTTGATAACGGAACAGTGAAATACATGATAAATGTTATCCGCATGAGCCCACGTATTTATTTTATGAAACCAATGTTTATTTCATTATGTCAGCCATATTTTCAGAAATTTCTTCGAGTAGGTTCGCGCGAAACAAATAAAAAAGGAACATGTACACACAGTTTTGGAAGTAACTGTTATCACGTAAAGATACTGATAACTGAAAATTTATAACAACGATGACGGTATCGACTATATTACTGCTCAGATTTGGACTGCAGCTTCATGCTGTTTAGTGCGTATTATTGTCAAACATCTGTATATCTCTAATGCGGAAAACAACATATCCAGACACTTTGCCATAACTTGTATCCATCAATACGTGCGAGACAATTTCAAATTTTCATTTATAAAAATAGGCATCTTTGTAACGCAAATGCGATCCGCCAGTACACCTTCAATCGTCTTAGATAAAGAAGGGTTGTACGTTTAGAAATTTAAAATGGAATGAATAAATAAATAATAAACCCATCAACGAAATAAATAAAAGCGACAAAGCTTCTACCATGATGTCTTGAAAGGCAGTTAGTAGTGATACACATAAGAAAGCGAATTTATGGATGTCAACTTCTTTATTATGAGGAACACAACATTTCGGAGTACATGCTTACTCCTTCATCAGAAGCTGACATCCATAAATTCTCTTCCTTATCACCACGATCATAAGTAAGCTCTGCTAAACGCAGAGTCCATTGCTAGATCTTAAGCATGATGGCGTTTATATATTCCCATCAGATAGTGATGATATCAAGTGTTTGCGAAAACCGTAAGATGGAGGTATCCTACCCTACCGGTGGCACCGGTCACAAACACATGCAAAGGCAAGAAAATGCTCACCTATTTAAAAAGGTAAACTTAATTTGACGCATCATTGGCCAAAATGATATCCCATGAAATTCTCTATTTTGACTTGTTCCCGTGTTTACCTTTATAAATATCACGTGAAAACAATAACTGAACAAAGTTTGATGTTGTATTAAATAAAAACCAATTAGCTTTGTATTATATTTGTAGGTGCACATATAGTTTCAACAAAATATAAAGACGGGAAGGACCCTTGGAAAAAACAGCATCAGTACCTGTGAGTAATGGCAACTCTGAGTAGGGTTGCATGACTTGTCATTGAATCGGAACGTGCCCACCTCCTCCCACCAAGCGATGAAACCTCTCCTGATAACCTCTGCTTCCGACCGACTTGACTTCTCAATATACAGGTTCTCTCCGTACTTAGGGCTTGTTGAATGCTTGAACTGACACGTGTCTGCATGTTGCTTAGCTTTTCTCGCCAAGTTTTCGTTCCATGTCTGACATAAACAGTATTTAAACGTACAGTATATGAATACATTTCATGCACTCGACATTATCTTGAAATACAGTAAACTACGGTTATAACGAACTGAAAATGACCACTAATTTTAGTTCGTAATAACCGTAGTTCGTTTAAGCATATATACAGCATACAGTAAACTACGGTTATAACGAACTCAAAGGGGCCACTAATATTATTTCGTAATAACCGTAGTTCGTTATAAGCATATATACAGCATATATGCAACACATGGGCTAAAAATAAATTCGTTATATCGGTCAGTTCGTTTTATGCGTGTTCGTTATAAACAGTGTTCGTACTGTACTTTGTATGATAACAATGATATCATGACAGGGATCTCTAACTTCAACTGGGGCGGTCGGGTAGCCTATAGTGGTCAAAGCGTTCGCTCGTCACGCCGAAGACCCGGGTTCGATTCCCGACATGGGCACAATGTGTGAAGCCCATTTCTGGTGTCCCCCGCCGTGATATTGCTGGAATATTGCTAAAAGCGGCGTAAAACCATACTCACTCACTCACTCAATTCAACTACTCACGAGATCAGGAATATCAGCCGCTCCAGGTTCGTTGGGAACTTGGTTGTGATTCAGTGCCTCCCGTCCCTCGTTGTGTAGGCTGAGAATGATCTCCTTATTCTCTCGCGTCATTACATCGGCCATGGACACGCCCAAGACACCAAGAAAAACTATGCCCAACATCATAGTGATCTGGAAGATCAACCAACGTCATGAAAAGAAGCCAAGCTGTCACTTTAAAATCAGACTTTTTACTTTGACAGTTCCTATATTATAATAGGGGGCACGGGTGGCCCAGGTCAAATCAATTTCATTTCAGCACTCTGATACAGACTAGTATACCATCACGCCAGGATTCTGAAGTTAACCATGTGTTTTCATTTTTGTAAGACCTGGGATGGTCCGGGGTAGAATTGGTCTTCGGCAGCCCTTGCTTGCCGTGAGAGGCGACTAACGGGATCGGGTGGTCAAGCTCGGACTTCGTTGATGTATGTCATCGTATCCCAGTTGCGTAGATCGATGCGCATGGCATCAGTCACTGGAGTGTCTGGTCCAGACTCGATTATTTACAGACCGCCGTCATTTAGCAGAAATATTGCTGCGTGCGGCGTTAAACAACAAACAAACAAACAAATCATTTGTGTAAATTAACACCAGTTTGATGTCTTTCCGAATGTCAGGTTCCTTTACATTTTTTAATTCAAGAGTACATTTATATATGCAATTTGGAATAACATCTTTTGGAAAAATACCCAGAAAATTCAAACTCGTTCTGACAATTTCATTTTGAAAACATGTGTTTCAGTGCGTATGAACTCAAACCTTAATTTGTATACACACTTCTGGAACAAAAGTACACAGAATGAAACATTTTTCTATTTTATAAGAATACTTAAGCTATATAAAATTATGTATAGTTCTCTATTCACCATATAATCCTGATTTAATGTGTCAGATAAATTCACTATATACAATTGTTATTTATGGTTTATATCGACATCTATAGCAAATGTCAGAAAACGGAACGTGTATCCTACTTACATAAACAACTTCTCTCTCTGGACATACAATCCAAAATTTAAACAAGACAATAAAATAGTGTTGAAAGAATGAAAAATGATAGCACTCCGAAGTATTACAGTTATTTAAGGGCAAGTAAAGTCAACATAGCAACTTTGAAGATTTTACATGTTCAGGGCATACGTAACCGGTGAAGATCGGGGTAGAATAGGTCTTCAGCAACCCATGCTTGCTGTAAAAAGCGACTAACGGGATCGGGTGGTCAGGCTCGCTGACTTGGTTGATGCACGTCATCGATCCCAATTGCGTGGATCGATGCTCATGATGTCATTCACTGGATTATTTACAGACTGCCGTCATATGGGAATATTGCTGAGTGCGGCGTTAAACAACAAACACACACACAGGGTATACGTTTAACAAATGTTTGACAAAAATTAAATTTGAGAAAAAGAAATAGCATGAACCAGAGAATGGTTTATTGCAGGGTCTTCCTACTTGTCCAGCGCCTATAGTGTTTGGTACAAATTCACCGGAGATTGATCACTGGTAAGACTGGTAATAGGGGTTTTTAGTGGGGGCTCACGTATGACACAACCAATTGGTGATATTTCACAAAAGGTGAACTATATTCACATATACTGTACTGTGTGAAAACCTTTAAAATTTATCCCAATGAATGAGTGAACATGATAACAATTTAGTATGATTTGGGCGGTAAAGGAATTACAGACAAAAAACAGTATTCCACTTGTACTGTTGCAAATAAGGAGGTTGATTTGCAGTTTGTTACAAATCCTATGGGGGATCGGCACTTGGGTTTTCACGAATAATTATGTTTTTTTTTGCTGTGAATTATGTAATTGGAAATGTTAAATGTAAAATTAGACAAATGTACGGTGCTCATTCTTTTTATCAATTGTTCATATATCAATTTTATAGTTTGAAGTAAACGAAAGCTGGATGGACAGATGTATGTTGATTAACGAACACAATGGGGATTACCCTTGTCAAGATGCGGGGCAGTCACCGTTTATGGTACCCAAATATTTCAGTCATAAAAAGCTCGTTTCGAACATTAATTGCTATTTTAACTGTTCACAGTGTCAAGAACAGAAAAGAAATTGCTACACTTGTATATTGACCGCTTCCTGACGTATCCGTATACCTTTCTAAGTCTTCACAAGTCTACATATCAGCCAAAGAAAACAATTGTCACCTCACCCATGCACCGTTGGGTCGGTGGCTTTAGGCCACGCCCCTAAACACTTTTGTTGGAGGAGGGACGTCAATATCCCAAGTTGCCCAAATGTTTGGACAAGAAAAAAGTGAGTAGGGCGTGGTAGGTCTAAAAAAGACACATAGCAAAGGTCTCATGAAATTAATTGCACTGCGCATTGCATTAAAACCATACACAAGTTAATCAACAGTTGCAAGGTGTCGTGCATGTATCGCCCAACATGGACACACCCGATATTGAACTGCACGCCCGAAATATAAAGTCAATCTTGGATTATCCCCTTGTCATGTCCAAATTAAACGTTAATTAAACAAAGCAGATACGGAAATTGACAGGTTGGGCTATGTCGTCTTTCTGTCTGGTCATGCAATCACTTGGCCACCGTATTTTAGATTATCTTAGAAAGACATTAATTATTATGTTATGACCCTTATTCAAACATTAAAAATAGTGACATATTTTGAAATTAGACGTCATACTGCACCGCACACTAAATATATAATAAAGTGACATTTGTACAAAATTGCAAAGAGTTTGGTGCTGAATTTATATAATTATTGTTTAAACGACTTTCGATGTGTATAGATTTAAAGCAAGAAATTATTATATATAAATAAATTATATATTCAAAGTATTAACGAACCCATGGAAAACATAAGAAATAAAAAAATAAACTACAAATGATTTCATGGCATTGTATATTTCATCTTGTAAAATCGGAGCTAACATATGTTCTTACCTCAAGAGAGCTGATTCCACTGTTCCAAGAATTCCGTAGGCCTGGTTATTGAAGCCTCTCTTATATAATTATACCATTAATAAAAATGTATTCATGTCCTTTTACTGTACCGATTTTACCAATAAATGCTCGATCATATTATGACGTAATTTGATATTTAGTGAGCTTATTAGTATAATATTACTAATGAGATATCTACGTGTACTTATCAGTGAAAATTGGCATTCACTAGTTTAGTTACTGCCTTTAATTCTTTATAGCGATGATCAGTACATTGATCAATACGCTGATTTAAGCACATTCTATAATGAATTATTGTTATTATATACAGATTATAAAAATGCAGCTTAGAGGGTTCGGGTGAACTGGCACAGTCAGGGTGGTTCGGCTCATCATCAGCTCAGGGCCCTTGCCCACTCCGCACGCAGCAAGACAGCTGATGGGACTTCTCCCAGGAGACGCTGCCTTGTCAAACCCACCCAGAACTTTTCGGAGAATGTGAAGACTCCCCAACACTGCAGCCTTCCGCATTACCCGGATTGTCAGAAGGATTGTATTCCCGGTAGCAAACCCGGGTACTCTCCAAATGTCGGACAACGGCACCGTGAACAATTAGGAGTCGGACAACTTGGTAGTTGGTGTGCAAGCTTGACATTTCGAAAGCGAGCTCCGCATATTTGCCATGTTTCTCTTGACTCTGTCAAACATAATTAGTGTCAAAATATAAATGATTTCATCGGATTTATCAATAAGGACGCGATCACGTTTGGTGGCCTGGATAGGTCTGAAGCTGTGTACGGGCCTATTCCAAAGAATTTTATCTTTATCATTTTCCATGACGCCCTCTACATATTCAGGATCGTACCGTGGATGGAACTCCATGTCAAAACCACAAGCATGGCGAAGACGGTAATAAAAGGACCGAGCAACTCCACCATGTCGCTTAAGATACTGTGTTTGTGCCAAAGCTGGACATCCACTGACAATGTGTTGGGCAGTCTCATTAAATTCATTGTATTTCATATTTACATTTTGAAGTAAAATCACATTTTGACGGTTTCGAGTGGTAGGTTACTGGTCCTAAGCAGCAAACAGAAAGCCTTCTGTTGCGTTTTTCAGCCAGCCGACCCCATCAGCTTCTCAACACACTGTACATAAACTCGAAGCAGTGGTCGTTCAAAACGCCTCTCCCTGAAAAACTGAGTCTGGACCGATTTGATATGGCACTTCGCTTGGTTGGCACTCATATCTGTCAAGCAGTACAGAACCATCAACAAAATCAACATTTACATTAAAAGTATGTCCAACATCCTTGGCTCATTTAAGAAAACTGTTGAATGCCTTGTTTTCATCATGAGTCATGGTTCACAAGAGGATCATCAGACAAATAAATGTGTGGAAAATTTCACATTACAATTCTATCATGAAGAGCTTACACGTTAATCAAACCACGTCCTCCCATTATAATTTGTAATTATAAGTGATTGAGGGAAGGGCGAGGGTAATGGGATCTATTGTCTGACATGATTTCTCTTGTGAGTTTGTCTATACCCTTGTCTATACCTTCTTGTTTCGTCTAATCAACATCACCAACATAATACGAAATGACGGGTACAGCATAAGTATTTGTGGCTTTTACTTTATTGCGAGCGTTCAGCTATGAACTCCAGATTTTTTACAGTCAACATTTGAACACTGCCAGCAGTTTGTCTTTGATATGGCGAATCTGGAGTTTGTCTCTAACCTGCATCCGTAAGTACGTATAGGCCTGACCTTCCACGAGATGGTCAATAACTCCTCCCTCAAGTAAACGGACAGATTTTCTCTCTTCGACCTTGCCACGTTTCATATGAAGAATGTTGCAGTTGTCGAGCCCAAAGGACATGCCAGTATCATAAGCAAAGGACTTGACAAAGAGAATCTGTATTTTCAGTGTGGGTTCTCCTTTGGCAAGAAGTTCAAGGCGCCCTGGGGCCGTATTAGATTTGGACTTTATAATAACATTTATCAGGCATTCAGGCGTAATGAAGCACACCAAAGGTGACCTTATTTTGTCATGTAAAAAAATCATTGTAATCCTCTACCCTTTTTTTCCTGGAGGTTCAATTTACCGGATATAGACCACCGTTCACTGGAATCAAAATACATAATAAGGTGACAATCATTCATAGCTGCAATGGATGCAAGGAAATGAAGCATTGTGATGATCAACACCTTTTGTAAGTACCATTCGTTTTCACCCAATGGTGTTTTAAACTATAGTTAAAAAGTCGTCGATAGTAATATTTATGCATGAAAATCCTATTGATTTGAATAAAACCGACACAACCTTTCCGAAGTAATAAGATATCTCGGCTCAACGCAGGCATTTAGGCATTTAGAAGCTGGAGTACGAAGTAAGGATAATAATTTATGTCTTTGCTCTCAATTGTAATAAAGAAGTTGTTCATCCATAAATTCTTATCCTTACTCAACGCAAAGTTGATTGCACGATTCCGATTGTATCATGAGCATGTGATTATAAATCACTATCAAATAGTGATGATACCAGGTGTTCCGGAAAAGATGAACGTATCCTGCCCAAACGGTGGCACCCGTACATGAAAAGAAATGCTACATTCTTTAATTTATTGTGTCCGTCTACACAATAAAGCTATAAAAACACGTCCGTGCCATGTCATATATGACCTTTAAAGCATTTGAAGAAAGAACTACCCTGTTCACGGTGTGATTTCTAAACAATAACATTGATACTGTCTTTTGTTAGGGAATAAAGAAGTGAAGAAGAACGGTTCACTGTCCCCTAATATACATGCTGTCTTGTCAAATAATAACCATGAATGAATTTTAACAAGAGTTTGCCACTAAAGTGGCTATATCCCCCGCCCCTGTTGCAGAATTTATGACATAATTAAATCTAAACAAACCCTAACCTTTTTTAACCGAGGTGGAACTTGTCATGGAAATTTAAAAAAAGAAAAGTTTGGAACCTAAGTCCATCTTGCTGCCATGGAAACGTAAAAAATAAAGATTTCTAAAATTTCTAAATAGCAAAAGGCACCAGGTCAGCATGTACCTGACAGACCTGCAAAGTTTGATGAAAAAAGTAATGAACGGTTTCTAAGTTATGCTCCGGAAACGAAACGTGACGGACGGACGTAAGGACGGACGGACGGACGGACGGACGGAGCCCGTTTCTATATCCCCCACCAACTTTGTTGGGCGGGGGATAATAAAAGCAACAAAAAACATTTCCACAACAATAAACAAAAGTGACAAAAAACATTTCCATAATCATAAGAAATATCTACTGAAGAAGAATCCATATTACGATTCCAACAATATCATAAACGTGTGTTTATGAATCACTATCAAATAGTTATGATACAAGGTGTTCGGGAAAAACGAGCGTATCCTGACCCATCAGTAGCATCCGTCACAAACACATACAAAGGCAAGGCAAATGTTCACCTGAACAAAAACACGTGTAAATATGGTACAATTGGGAATTTCAACGGACATCATGGATACTGATGCATCAAATTTGGAACTGTCTACCATGCCATTTTTTGGAAGCTTAACTGAGGCATTGAATGTTGTAACGCTGATCAAACAACTTTTCAGCAAGAGCCGTATCACGTTCTTGGAACTCTTTGTAGAAGGCAGGAGCTACTGGCATATTGCTCTACGTAAAGGAAAATTTGACTTTGGAAAGCTGAAGTCATCCCTCTTGCTATGCTCTCTTGTGGGTAGTATTTTGTCACTCTGAATCATTATGTATAGATGTAAATTTAAAACAGATCAGGTGGTTCCACTGGTCTCTGATATTTCTAGTATTGGAGGATAAATAAGTTGAACTTTCTGCTAAAGGCATGTCTTTTGAACCATTGCAACTTGAAAGCATAATTTAAAAACATCAACATACCAAGCATGATTAAGTAATTGAGCTGTGGCCTCTTACGTGTATCAGTTTGATGCAGTAATGATAGAATTATTGACAAAACATTAATTACTCAGAAAACCTTTTATGTGGAAAAATTGAACGTACAACCATCAAACACTTGTGAAGCAGCTGCTCGTGTTGGGAACGTGATGACGCATAATTGTTAAGCTAATCATATGATTACACATAATGAAGATGATTAACTATCTCTTCAACTCTAACTCTATACTATAACATGGTTCTCTCAGTCATATATGATCATTGTGAGCTCATATAACTCCTCATATGACTCTATGTCGGGGGAACTGGTAGAGCAGGGGTCTCAGTGGCCGCATTTCGCTTTGCAGAGGTGCGTTTCTTTTCAAGGATCCAGTAATCAGTTGTTCGAATCCCTAGTTTTCCGATTATGACCATCAGCGCCATGTCACTGGTCACACCTCTAAGACATTGAGTACGGATTGTTTTTCCAAAATTAAGCTGACCCGACATAACCGAAGCACTGTTATACTGACACCAATACTCATTTATTGATTTGTTTAATTGATGCTATTATTTGTCAGAAAGTGATACACATTTTCATTGGCAGGCATTTCAGTACCGTAGTAGCTTACGAGAAGCGCAAAATGAAGTACAGTGGACGAATATTAACTGTGAACCCTCATTAATGAAGACGGTAAGGTATTGTCATTATTTGGGTTATAAAATTCAAAATTGATCCAGGGACCACGGGTGGCCCAATCGTCTTAGGCGCCGCGATTCGCTGTGCAGATTTGCGTCCCTTGTTCACGCCAGAAAACTATGATTGTGGGTTAGAGCCCCGGTTCGCCTCGATGATGTTTCTAGGTTTGTCTGCACCATACCCGTGCTCGTGGGTTTCACCGAAGTGTTAAACGTCTGAGACCTGCATCACTTCGGGCTTTCCTCCCACATTAAGCTGACACACCGCGATATAGCTGGACTACTGTTAAAGGCGGCGTTAAACCCAACTCACTCACTAAAATTGTTTCGAGGAAGAGATTATCACGATACCACGGTTTTGTGTATTCAATAGAAGAAAAGTGACTTCCAGAACACTGAAACAATATTTTTGATAGTCTTAATACTCATAATACTTAATACTAAATAATCATCAGTTTACTGTCTTAATTCTCGCAATGAAAAGGTAAGAC